TATCACTAAAGTCGTAGAACCGATTCAGTTTCACGGTCCTTCATAAATCCGCTGGACGATGACTTCGTCTTATGAGATCGTCACGTGGCATGCGGTTCTCATCAGTTCTCACGGTGGCCATGGTTCTCATCAGCCGTCCGATATCAAACCCCACCCTGTCGTCTGCTGGCTGACGTTCGCCTGACAATGAAGTGAGTGAGTCCTGCCCCTTGGGTGCGGTACAATACTGCCGGGGATGCATTGGGACATGCCGCTAATCTTGCTCTTCCTTTGCTTGTCAGCTTTATGAAATCAGCATATCACTCAGCCAGCCAAGCCCGGATGGGTCCAAGCGCTGCTTGCGCTACAGCATGGCAGCGTTGGTGACTCGTGGTCTGTCACGGCTGGATTGAAGTTGGGCGACCAAATAAAGGAGTAAATGAGCAAAATGAGATCACCTATTTACAGGGTATATCCCGGACGGTCTGGATGATCCTCAATTGCCAGAAGTCGACGGCATTTTATCCCATACTGAACAGATGCTCTGCAGCCGGTATCTCACACAGCGTTTCCCATTCCCCATTGCTGGAGCTAGTTACAGAAAGAGCTCTGCTTCTGCTTTGTTCTCTTGCTGGTGTTGAGCAGCATAACGGCCACACTTGCGCAGTATACCTGTACCGACGCAACCTGTGCCAGCATGCCTGGACCGACACCACCTGTACTAGTGTACCTGTACCAGTATGCACGTACCGACTTAACCTGTGCCAACACCATCTGTACTAGTGTACCTGTACCAGTATACCTGTACCGACACCACATGTATTGGTGCACCTGTACCAGTATACCTGTGTCGACGCAACCTGTACCAGTATACCTGTGCTGACGCCGCCTGTACCAGCATACCTGTACCGACGCAACCTGTACCAGTATACCTGTACCGACGCAACCTGTACCTGTGTACCTGTACCGACGCAACCTGTACCTGTGTACCTGTACCGACGCAACCTGTACCAGTATACCTGTACCGACGCAACCTGTACCAGTATACCTGTACCGACGCAGCCTGTACCAGTATACCTGTGTCGACGCAACCTGTACCAGTATTCCTGTACCGACGCAGCCTGTACCAGTATACCTGTACCGACGCAACCTGTACCAGTATACCTGTACCGACGCAGCCTGTACCAGTATACCTGTACCGACGCAGCCTGTACTAGTATACCTGTACCGGCGCGACCTGTTCCGGTATAATATGATCAGCTGGAGCACTAGAGCTCATCGTCGCTCAACCCCTGGCGCCAGCAACTCGTTCCCACGCGGCCGAGATACTCTCCTTCCGCAAACGTGCACCTAGCTTGTGCTCAACATCCACTAGCCTTACAGGACCACGCATCCATTCATGGCCTGCGACGCCGCCTGTAGAGATCTGCACACCTGCAGAATTGTAGGCATCGAACCACGAAGGTCGATCCTTCTTTGGTGAGCAGTGACACAACACGCCTTGCTGGATGGCTGCTGGGGAGTGGCCAACACTTCGCCAGGTGAAGACAAGCAAGGATTTGAACTCATTTATTTTGCTGAGACGACGCGTGGTGGCGTGCAGCACAGCTACATCTATGGTTGAGAATAGTCATATAAATGGCGCACGTATGTACATAGATTCATGTCTTCCCTGGGGCCGATTTGGAAATGAGACCAGACACAAGTGAACGCTCGCAAAACGTCGGAGCTCTCTTTATACGCACTCACGGAACACATGCGGGCTTCCCACACCTGCTGTGATTTCATGATAAAGGTACCCGAAACTCACAGCACCAGCAATCAGAGGGGCAGCTGGAAAGAATGTTGAGACAACGGGGGCAGTCCGATCCGACGAGGTGAATGACAATGCACAAAATACATCATTTTGTATGAATACACCTGCATACACTTAAGCGATGCATGCGCAGCCCTCACTGTACGAAAACAGCTCATGTCGCAAGAGTTGAATATAAAGTACGACGATGATGATTCGCACGATCACGCGCATCCAGCAGGTTCATCCCGAAACATTACAAAATCACAGCGAACATTGAAGACGAACACATATCTCCACCACTACCGGAGTGGAAGCACACACGCCCACCGTGCGTCTCCCAAACATCAAAACAGCACAGGGGTAGAGCGCGAGCGTCAGCGCTCGTGAAAACAACAAAACAACAGAAAAACAAGTCAGGCATTCCGAACATTTGTCTGGTGTCAGCGTTCCCCGAACATGACCTTTATGGACGGACGCGCCGCCCGCTGGACGAAGGGGGATCATTTGGCACCGATGGTCGTGTCGCCGTGTTGTACGTGTTGCAGCGTTGTACAACACGAAACAAATTGGTTGCTCTGCTGACTTGCCATACAATACGCGTGAAATGCAGCCGCAATACTAGCGTGGTGTATTTGGGGCACACGCCACAACCTCTGATGAGCGAGAACTATGACTCCAAACCATCCGAGAGAACCAGTCGGAATCAATATTTCTGTATACCAGCGGGGACCGTCGACCCACACGCCCGGGGCAGGTCAGCCCTACCCAACGCGCCAGGGACAATTCGTCAAGGGGCTTTGATCGCGGATGTTTTGATAAGCGTTTGCTGCCTGAACTGTGTGAATTATATGAGAATGTTTCGACAAATGTTCTCGACGAAAGCAAGTTCCAGATATTCGGAGCAATTGTCTCAGCAATTTAGGAAAGTTCTCTGAAACACATTGAACGCTAAGCCCAGGGACGGCAAAATAGATTGGCGGGATTTTTGGAACTAAAAGGCGTCTACACCAGTGAGCAAAGACTGAGCGACGTGAAATGAGCACAGAATGAGCATCCGAACTGCGGCCACGCCAGGGACCAGGCGGCGCGCGACCCTTCACCACTGGGACAAGTTCAGTTACTTAGCACTAATTCTCCGACTGTGCTTGAATGGATCAGGAAGCTCCAAAATGCATGAATTATGATTAGGTTAAACTCAGGAGTGCACTAGCCCAGATGCTTTGGAGCGGACTGAAAAGTTAAGCTTTTACACTTAGTGGCGAATTAAGACCATGTCAACAGGTACTGAATTCAACTTAGACTTTTGACAACTTAGACAACTTTTGCTTAGAGCCGATGAACCGATGGCTTACTTCAAAGAATATCGGTTTGGATTCGCCAAGCATGGTTTGGATAAGACTGGATGGTGAAAAAGTCCCTTGAGATCTCTGTAGGACACTACACGCCATTCATCGTAGCTCGCATGGATGCAGCTCAGTTGGCAACGGCGACAAAGCGCATTTCTGCCCCATGAAGCTCTCGCCTGGCCCATTGCGTGCTGGACAACGGAAACAAAGTAGCGAAATTCTAAGCGGTGCAGTGTTATCGCTGACATCAGAGAAATACATGAGAGCAAAACATGAAGACACGCAACATCACGTAAAGTCAATTGTGCACGAAAATGCACATTAAAGAGAATGAGTTTCCACATAGCGGCGACCTCACTGTGAACGTCACTTCTGACAATTGAATAAGCTCTCAGACAGATTGGCTTTGGTAGAAACGGCCAACGGAGCAGTCATATGATTCCCCACTACGATATCGAGATCATTTTATGATGTGATGCTTCTGCTATACGATATAGAGATCATATTACGATGGCATACTTTTCCTATACGATGTGGCACGAAAAGGCCTAGAGAACGGCGCGTCATGTTAAACATTAATAAGATTGCTGGCGTTGGGTAGTAGGTACAGATGAGGTTAGATCATGGAAGGGTTCGCAATCTAATCGCAGAGCTCCGCTGATTTTTATACAGTTGCAATGTAAACATCCCTGTTGACACTTTCTGGCGTGCTATGAAGGAGAAAACACCGTGTGTGTATCGCTGGCGCTGCGTCTCATTTGCATGTGTTGCGTGTTCTGTGTTCATCTATGTAGTATGTCCTGACGCGGCGTTAGAATAGCCACTCGCTGGATTTCGCCGGGGTTCGCAATAATGATTATAAGATCGGCCGTGCCTGCTCTGCTGCCATGCGCGCCCACGGCCTGCACCAACCGGCCAGCCACTGGCAGCCCGACTGAATCCGTGTGGTGTTGGTGCGGGCTTAATCCGTTGGCGTGTGGTGTTGGTGCGGGCTCAATCCGTTGGCGTGTGGTGGTGCGGGCTCAATCCGTTGGCGTGTGGTGTTGGTACGGGCTCAATCTGTTGGTCATTGCCGCCAATGCGCCGGCCGTCGGGGAAGCGACGTCATATCCGGGTGGAAAGATGGCCACCGGCGCCTCGGCCCACGCCCGCACACAGGCTGCACGGACCAAACGAGCCACGGCAGCGGCGCCCAGATACGGGTGCCTCGCGCGGACGGGCCCCGAGCAGCTGGCTGAGCGATCAGATCGGCCCCGCACACAGGCTGCACGGATCAAACGAGCCACGGCAGCGGCGCTCAGATACGGGTGCCTCGCGCGGACGGGCCCCGAGCAGCTGGCTGAGCGATCAGATCGGCCGCACTGAGCCGGGGCGCCGCCCTCGCTGAAGGGCTGGTGTTGCGGTGATACGGCCTGTCCGACGGGGACCCAGCCTGGCCGGAGGTCACCAGATTGTCTGACGGTGACCCGGCCTGTCCGGCCGCCACCCGCCACCACTGGCAGGGACCCGGGATTATCTGACGGTGACCCAGGTCACCCGGTGGAGATCCGGGCTATCCAGTTTCGAGTCCAAACGATGGGGGTGTGGCCTGTCCGGTGGCGGCCCGGCCCGTCCGATGATGATCCGGCCTGTCCGGCGGCGAAGACCCGCCTGTCCGGCGGTGACCTGGCCTGTCTGGCGGTGACCCCGCCTGTCCGGTGGTGACCCCGCCTGTCCGGCGGTGACCCAGCCTGAGCGGCGGTGACCCGGCCTGCCGGTGGTGATCCCGTCTGATCGGCGGTGACCCGGCCTGCCCAGTGGTGACCCCGCCTGTCTGGCGGTGACCCCGCCTGTCCGGCGGTGACCCGGCCTGTCCGGTGGTGACCTCCTGACGCGGACTAGACAGCGGTGCAGGCCACGGGTTTGGCGGCGATGGAGCGGCGGACGCTGGGGACCCGCACCGTCAGGTACACGTTCTGGTCGCTCCTCTCACCAGCCGCCTCTGCAACAAGAGGTAGCAGCAGTAGTGGTCAGGGGCGTGAGGCGTTGACTGTTGAAGCAATATGCGTGAGTTTGATTCCCGCCAGATGACATTTAAAAAGCGGGTTTATATTCGTGATTTTATGAGCTTTTGAGGCATTCGCCTGCATCTGACGGCTGAATTGGTGAATCACTGAGGCGGAATTACGCATGTCAAACGATTTGGACGAGCTTATGGTGGCTAATTAAATGGGAGTCTCGTGAACAAATTGCACGAAAACTGTTTTTAACAATACAACTCCGACCTCCTGAGGCATGAAAAACATTGTATGCGCAGTCCGAATAAACCGCGCATAGCATGGCAGCCAAGCCCCCGCATTACCGCCTTCTGGGTAGCAATGCTGTGACGTCACCCCGCGACTAAGTCACATGGTACCAATGCTACGGCCGCGTGGAATCGTCGTTTTTGCGTACTGGCTTGAACATAAATATTCCCATAAACCGAATTTTGTGAGACCTAGGACATTCAATGAAGCATTTTCAGCTGGGAAATGGCGTTGGTTTGCACCAGAGCTACAAAATTATTGCTGAAATGCTCTACCAGTGTGCCCTGGCAGAGAGATGGGGTAACCCATTCACCAGTGATTTATCCCGGAGAAATCTAGCCGGAAGTGCTTAGAAACAGTTTTTGTAAAAAAAAACAACCGTGGAGATGAGAAGCGGCGGCCCAGACGAGCTTGCAGCACCCTGAAACGCGCATTGAGAAGTTGTAATGCACTTCCTGTAGCTTTAGGAGAGGCGTTGCCGGGGTGGGTGCAGGGTTGGCTTACCCTAATGGAGGCGGTGAGGGGTGAGCCCCGGAGGGCGTAAATGCAGAGCGCGTCATTTCAGTTCAAGGTAGCAGATTTTCCTGTAAAATGGGACGATTTTTGCCAAGCTTTGCAATTTCTGCTAGTGAAAGAGTGGTGGTCTATATCTCGCCTGAGAAATAGTGTTGGGGATGTATAAAGGAAGTCGTGGTATTATTCCCTGCGAACCGTTTTCACTTAACCCGTCCGACATTATGGAAGTTAGCCAACGAGTAGTAGGACCATAGTAAAGAAACAGTAAATTATTTGGCACCTGTCCTGCTCACATTACCTTATTTTCACATTTCACTCCATTTAGGCACTGCAGTACCACGGCAAATGGACGGCTTTGCCCTCGTCACATTACCTTATTTTCACATTTCACTCCATTCAGGCACTGCAGTACCACGGCAAATGGACGACTGTTACCCATTTATATATCTAATGTAAACATTTCACATAACAACCAATTCATTTACGAATAAATATACATTTTACAAAGAGGCATTACATGCAAATGTTCAGGCACATTGACTTCGACGAATATGGCGCGGGCACTGAGTCTTGAAAACGTGGTCTAGTACGATTTATTTCTGGAGGCAGATCGTGGTACATATTTTTATTTAGAATGCTTTGAATGAAAATGTATAATAATTATGCTTATTATTCAAGGGCATAATGCCTAACGAAAGCGTGATTTTGAATGCCTCACGTGAAAGCTGTGGCGTTTTCTGCTGATGTCATGGCACATCTCCTCTTTTGGGCAGCTTGGTCTTTGCAGCTACATTATCTCTGCCAAGCGTTGTCGCCAATATGGTGTCTTCTGCATCCGAAAACATCCCAAGTGTGACAACATTACGGCTCAGCCCACTTTTCAGGAAAGTGAACTCAACTCGTATGGACGACACGCTTTTGATCTTACCCATCAAACACAGCGAAGAACGGCTAGCTTTTGATTGCATTCACACGGGTATTGAGCTAGGTATGCTTAGTGAAGGAAAAAGTGGAAAGTTTCGGGAAATTCGAATGCTCATTTTAGTGGTGAAGCATTCTCCAAATATTGACATTTGGTCAGATACCCGAATCCGAACGTTTATTCTGCGCGCACTATTGGTCGCGGATCGCGAGTCGTGGGCCGTAGGTCGAAGACCACGGGTCATGGGTCAAAGGAGACGGATCGTGGCCATCGATCCGAGGGTCCTGACGCATGGAACAGGCCTTACCAGGGGAGTTGCCTGTTCAACACTAAATAAATGTGTTGAGGTCAATAGCTCATCTCTAGGCTCGGCAATTTCGAAAACCCTCCATAATCGACAAGCAAGGACCTGCTGGCGCTCGGGCTTGGGATCAGCAAATGACCGACCCCGGCTCAGGACACAGGCCCTGAGCCACCATTGCGGCCGGCTCTCGCCGCGTGATGCTGGTGAGCTGCGCGCTTGCCGTGCCGCACTTCGGTCTCTGTAGCTTCCCATGCCCGACTGAATATAGGATGGGTATTCACGAACGGGAGTGTGCGTAAAGGCGTGTAGTGTACCAATCAACCAACCAACCAACCAACCAACCAACAGCGGCCCAGCGTGCACTGCTCACAGCAAGGTTCAAACTATTAGCAACACGTCATCCACCGGCGTTCAGTACACGTGAACATTGGCGGATGGGCTTCACTAAAACAGTACTTCCCGGGTCGTGCTACCCGGCTATATCAAGAGATTCATGAGCAACAGAGAACCATTTGAGCCCATAGCGGTGGGATGCGTCAATAATTCAAGGGAATGCTTCACCTGTAAGATATTGAAGCAAGCACCAGATATGATGAAACACACTCACGTATAACCACTGGTAAGCTTTTTAAGTGGAAAAGAATGCTTCAGAGATCTAGGTTCTCAGTTTAGTAAATATGCTTCTCAATGCATAATGGCTTGGTTACATCATCGTGCCTTGCACAATATTGGTTGAGAGCCAATTGACGGCTGTTTTACCTAGAAATCGTGCTAACGAACGCCAGATATGAACGCCTCGACAATCATATATTTGTCTGGCCTTGATCGTTGCATGGCTCACGGAATGGCAGTATTTGAATGACGTCATTATGACGTCATGAATGCCTAGCTGACTTTGAAATACTCTCATTTTCGCGGATGTGTAGCTGACAAACTAGAGGGGCTCAGGTCTTAAGAGGAGCAGGATTGTGAACAGCACCGAAAGGTCTTCGAGATAGCTACTTCCATTCAGCACGCCATCTGCATGATGACCACTTCCTTTAGTAAAGATGTACTCATTAAATCGCAAGGAAGTATCACTACGTGGCACAAACAAATAGAAATGTTTTGAGATGCCATATTGCACTGGCAGCTGCTAATAGTTGCAAACTTCAAGTACGGCAATCTGAAACATCCGGGCTTGTGGAGCGATGCATTCCCATGAACGTAAATTGTAATCGCAGTAAGTTTCGCGTACGGGAAACGGCTTGGGATCTTGATCTGAATCACGACAATCGCCGGGAGGAGCGGTAGGGGGCGCAGGAGTAGTCGCGTTCTATTGAGGACGTTCGGGTCCACAATCGGGTGTCAGGCCTTGGCTTGGCGGTGCAAGTCTGCGCGCGGGGAGGAGCAGCGCCAACGACCTGTTGGGGGCATGCGCAGGTATTGAATTGACTGGTACGTCCGATTAAAAGACTTAACGTAGGCTGCTTTTTAAGTTGAAGTCTGGTCTCTACATACACCATATAAAGGTATGTTTTAACGGTTAAAATGATGGGAACGAAATAAGTGAAACAAGTAAATAGATCGTATTGTGTACCACCGCGGCCTACGCAAGGGAGTCAAGGTCAATGACCACGCTGGAGTCAATGAGTCTGGGACGTCGCTGGTGATCGTGACTACGCCACCGGTGCCGTCGGTGTCAGTATCCCGCCGGTAACTCCCAGACATGGCCACTTTGACCCAGGAGTGGGCCGGAGCAGATCTTTGTGGGACCGGATTAAGATGCGAACGAGCCAACACGCTGCAATAGCTATTTTTTACCAGGCCGGGCGCCGCTACACTACCGTGTAAAGTGCGATCCCTGGCTGGTCCGCGCTATCAGGCTGTGCTCTATAGCGGCTGGACACTAACCAAAGGACGATCAGCACATGGCCCCTAATCAGCCAGGCAGCCCCCCCCCCCCCACACTCTCAGGGTGACCTCGTGACCCCCGGCTCGGCGACAGCCCCCCCCCCCCCTCTTCACACACCCGCCCGCACACACGCACGCCACGCGGATTACGGGATTAACGGTCACGCTATCTACGCTGTCATCTCTGGACGGTAGTGTTAATGAGTGGGATGGAAAATTGTTATGTTGGATAGATTCATTGACGCGGGGAGAAAGCCAATCACACTGTTGTGATGAAATGATTTTGGCTGCACATCAACGGTTATGAGAGCCGCATTTCTTACACAAAATAGTTCAAGTTATGTTCATTAAATTGATACTGCTGCCAATATCAACTTAAGTTCTGGTAACAGATTTTCTTCAAATCAGGCATAAATTGTCATTGATGTTGTTTGTCAAAACTTCTTAGTTTAATTGAACAAATCCTGACAAATTGCCATTACCTTGATTTGCTGATTACTCATATTAATTTCCATTCGCATTTTGGAAGAAATTCGGCTATCATTCCATAATGTTATCATGACAAGGTCCGAAAATACACAAGTGTGTCAACCGGCATTACGCTATGGGCCACATAAATGCGAAAGAGCTTGGAGATTGCCGTAAAATGTCAGCCGTGGTCTTGTGCGACTCCATCTGTCAGCCGTGGTCTTGTGCGACTCCATCCGTCAGCCGTGGTCTTGTGTGACTCCATCCGTCAGCCGTGGCCTCGTGTGACTCCGTTCGTCAGCTGTGGCCTTGTGTGACTCCGTTCGTCAGCCGTGGACTTGTGTGGCTCCATCCGTCAGCCGTGGCCTTGTGTGACTCCGTTCGTCAGCCGTGGTCCTGTGTGACTCCATCCGTCAGCCGTGGTCTTGTGTGACTCCATCCGTCAGATCATCCGCTGTACCTAAAGTAACGATAACGCAAAGACATTTTGCTGGACGACGTGTGCTGCTCGTATCTTGTCATCTGTGTTGTTTCTCTTGCTATGCTTGCAGTGTCGCGCGCTTTGCCGCTCAGGTGTGGTAACGTGGGCCAAT